AAGCATGACATTTAAACATCTACTTTCATTGCCGTAGTATGTTCAGTGATGCTGTGGCATTCAAAGGCTGAAAACTGAATCAAAAAACAAGCAAAGGTCAAGTTCTCATATGAGTTTGAAAAAGCGAGCCTCACTCCTTTCAATATTACCAGAACAGTTCAGTGATAATACCATGAGTGGCTACATAGCAGGAAGCAAAAGTTTTCCCCAGTTTATTTTAAAGCAAATTGGGTGTCACAAATGAGTGTTATTCCAACATTCCAGAAATCAGAATAAAGAACAAATAGAAATATTGAATTCATAAATTTGAATTAGTGTTTGACAATTCTTTTTTTTTTTTTTTTATATCAATGTATGTATTTTTCAAACCATCTCTGGACCTTCAGCTCTGATCTCTCACTATTTTATAAAAAAAAAAAAAAAAAATCAAATAAATGAATAAACAGAAGGAAAGAAACAGCAAACACAGCAAGTTTGTACATCAATAGTAATACCATAGTAATAATAATAACTTACTGACATTCAAAGAAAAATATCTGTAAACCACATATCTTCAATATATTATATATATTTACCTATAAAATATGACTCTTAGTACAATGTATAGGCATAAAATTATACAATTTGAAATCTTGAATGGCAAAAGTCAGACATTTTTGGACCACGTGGGGATCCTTTCTTTTTGTTAAAGCCAACATCTGAATGCTTCATCTTATAATTTGCAGCTAAAAGTCCAACATGATCTGAAAACAGCCAGCATCCCAAATGGACTTCCACCTGTCGAGATGCACAGCTGAGCAGCAGCAGCAAACGCACATGGACCAGGTGGTGATGAGCAAAACTGAGTCAGTAACTTACTTAGTGAACTCGGTCAGTCCTTTGAGGAACCAGGCGGAGTTGCGGTACAGAGACATGCTGCTGCTCTGGAAGCTTCTCACTCTGACGGCTTCTCTCCTCTTCTTTTACTCTGGTCCAGACCCACGTGCAGCTCCGCTGAACAAACATCTCTAAAGCACAACGCCAGCGGCCCCCCAGCGGCAGCAGGAAGACATGCATTCATTCAGCTGGAAGAAGAGCTTCACAAAGTCAAACACCTTCAGTAAAATTTTATTTATTTTTTCCCCCCTTTTTAAAAAAAATTACACTATGCTCACAATGTCTCTCAATTTGGGTAATTATTTATTTTAGGCACAAAGATAGATAGATAGATAGATAGATAGATAGATAGATAGATAGATAGATAGATAGATAGATAGATAGATAGATAGATAGATAGATAGATAGATAGATAGATAGATAGATAGATAGATAGATAGATAGATAGATAGATAGATAGATAGATAGATAGATAGATATAGATAGATAGATAGATAGATAGATAGATAGATAGATAGATAGATAGATAGATAGATAGATAGATAGATAGATAGATAGATAGATAGATAGATAGATAGTTGGTAAAATTATACTTTAAAACAGCTGCAACATGAACAAAGTGTGTGTAGACTTTAATAACATTCAGAAAACTAACATAGTTTATCCGTTAGATTTCAGCTCCTGCACGTAATGATTCACACGCTGCGTCAACTCGGTGTGCTGGTGTGTAAATGGTGCGGACCCTCCTGAGGCTCCACGGCAGCCAATCAGCCGCTCGAGCGCAACTGGGTGCGGCTGTGACTGAACAAGGTGTGCACGCCTTGGTTTGTGATAGGACAAACAGTTCCTCAGTGCAATGAGTGCGCATGTACAGAAGCACTAACAATCAGGACAAGGTGCATCGCCAGTCTGTCCTGTTTCGTGGCTTTATAGCTGTTTTATCAAATGGTGAGTATCAGCTTTGTTTTCTATTTCTACTTTTGTATGAGTAAGACGTATAGCTTTAATTCATGTTGATTGACAAAAACAACAACAACAACAACAACAACAAAAAACATTTATTTCCTTCGAAGTGCAATGTTTCTTCCTGGCAAGTAAATATTAAATAATTGTCAGTCCTCAGATATTTGCATAACCAGTGGCTTACAAATGTCAGCATATTTTAAAATCAAGAGTTTGCTGTAGAGATATTGCTATAGTCCACATGTTGAGGTTTATTGTGTTGCACTGAGCCTGCAGCTGCACCTTGGGGCAAAGCTCTCATTAATTACCCTTGCACAACCCAAGCCTTGTATTTACTCCCCCACAGCACTCAGAGGTGATTTACATGCGCTGTTTCCCAGGTGATCCTCCCTTTATCTACCTGGTTGTGCAAACGCTGTCTGATTGTGGTTTCCGTGTCTAAAGAGCGTATTGCTGCATGTCTGGCTTTAAGTGAGCTTGTTGTTTAACAGCCATCAACATGCTCAACACGCAACCAGATTTATTTCTAGATATGACATTTAACAGGCTGCTTTGGAACTGTCTGCAGCAGTGCACTGTGTAAAAACAACCCTCTTTGAATTATTGTGTTATTGGGTCAAATATAATAGTCAGGTTCGGGATTTGACCCAGCATTCTGGGACATGGTCTTCAACATGAAAAATGGGTTCAAGTCCTTATCTCTATTTAGAGATAAAAAAAAGAAGAAAGAATAGCCCATAACTGGAATAACTAAGTAACTCGAATAGTAACTCCATTTCCCTGTAACTTATCAATTGTGGTATTAAAAAAGCCTCATCCTTTTAATGCTCCAGTTTAAAAGCCAAGATAATTTAGCCAATTCTAAAGTAACTTTATTGTGTTTATTGTAAACAAGCCAAAAGCCTGCAATCTTGTTTTTTCAATCAAATAATTGACAGAGTGCAGCAACAGGTGGAGGAAAGTCAGTTCTTTGTTACTCTGTGACACCCAGAGAAAACTCTGGCAAGTCTTTCACGGTCTCTAGCATGTCATTAGTAAGACTTTAAATGACATAAATTAATATTATAATCGACCTGGACTCTTTTACGCAATGCTACAAATCAGATTTTGGTGCATATTTTGGTTTTATTACACACTGCACATGCTAAAATGCTTATTTTGGTTGAGCCAAACAAACTGGCTCACAAACTCTAACCTGGTGTTTGATCAAACTTATGTCCCAAAAGCAAATGACCTGCCAATCAGCGTGTGAATCACAGTTCATTACCTGCAGGAGCTGAAATCTAACGGATAAACTATGTTAGTTTTCTGAATGTTATTAAAGTCTACACACACTTTGTTCATGTTGCAGCTGTTTTTAAAGTATAATTTTACCATCTATCTATCTATCTATCGATCTATCGATCTATCTATCGATCTATCGATCTATCGATCTATCTATCTATCTATCTATCTATCTATCTATCTATCTATCTATCTATCTATCTATCTATCTATCTATCTATCTATCTATCTATCTATCTATCCATCCATCCATCCATCCATCCATCCATCCATCCATCCATCCATCCATCTTTGTGCCTAAAATAAACAATTACCCAAATTGAGAGACATTGTGAGCATATTTATTTTTTTATGTGTACTTGCATTAGTTTACACCATTCAATAAAGTAAACTCCTCCTCTACTCCTTGTATTCTTTTCCAGTTGCGTTTCCTGTTGCTGTTCAGTCGCCAGGGAAAACTCCGGCTGCAGAAATGGTTCGTGCCGACATCAGACCGGGAGAGGAAGAAGGTGATCCGAGACATGATAATGTTGGTGCTGCCCCGTCAGCCTCGTACCTGCAACTTCCTCCAATGGAAGGACCTGAAGATTGTTTACAAAAGGTGGCAGCACAAGACACAACATGACATGCAGCTACTGGCTTTATATTCAACAGACAAAGCACTCCTATAAAACCCTGATACTTTTTGTTCTCTCAGTATTAATATGTTTATTGATTTATCTTTTTAGCCACAACTATCAAGGCACCATTTGAAAGCTTTGGTAATTTCTTCTTTCTGATTGCAGATATGCCAGCCTGTATTTCTGTGCTGGTCTGGAGGAGCAGGATAATGAACTTCTTGCTTTGGAGGTGCTGCACCGATATGTTGAGCTGCTGGATAAATACTTTGGTAATGTAAGTTGTCCTTCATCCAGGGGTTGTGAGTGACTCTGCTGAGTTGGCTTATGTTGCAGCTCTGCTTTGAATCACGTGAAGCTCAAAATTCTTCCAACAGGAGTTTTGTTCATACACAGAAGGGAACATTGCACATTTTAATGCACAGCAACACACAAAGAGAAACTGATTAAATTGTCTAAATTACTTGAGTTCAAGTAAAGAAATGACAAACTTGTGGGAAAAGAAAACTCCTTTTAAGTGAACTCTGAGAAGACCAAGAGTTTGATGAGGCTATCAAAACGTTGCCATCAAGCCAAACTTAAGGAATTTAGGTGTTGCTTTTGACCAAATTATGTTTCTTGAATGTCTGTTCCCTTAGACATTAAATAAGTTTTTGTCAAAAAAAAAATCATATAGATAATGACTGATTTGTAAAAGCAATGAAAACATTCAAGCAGCAAATCATTTTTTAATGCACTGTATATTTTATTTTGTTTTGCAATACTAACTGTATCTTTCATGCTTCTGCTTGCATTACTGGATTGTTAAAGTCACAAACTCCCACTGGTGGATCCTCAAACCAAAACATTTGTCACCTTAGGTGTGTGAGTTGGACATCATCTTCAACTTTGAGAAGGCCTACTTCATCCTGGATGAATTCCTCATGGGTGGAGAGGTTTTAGAAACATCCAAATTTGCAGTGAATGTGTCTATGGAGCAGGCGGACACACTACAAGAGGTACTGTAACCTTTACCAAAACATCATCTCACGTTTCTTTCATGGTTGCATGTCAAAAGCATTTGTTCTGCATCCACAGACAATGGAGGAATATATGAGCAAACCTGCCTACTGAGTCATGAGAGGATGAGGATGTTGTTGAAAATGTATTAGTGGTGTGATCCTCAAGGCTCCTTTTTATTCATCTCAGGGTTCTTAGAAACATTTACTGCTCAGGTGTGTGTGCTGTGTATTGGTGAGTAAATGGAGAAACACAACACAGTAAGGAAAAAATAAAGTCAATGCTTTATTAACCTCAGGAATGTCACATATGACTACAATTAAGAAAGAATTACAAAAAACACACAGGGATCTAAGGAATTCAACACTAGCTGTGACTGTCTCTGTATGTGTGTGTGTGTGTGTGTGTGTGTGTGTGTGTGTGTGTTTGTGTGTGTTTGTGTGTGTGTGTGTGTGGGTGTGTGTGTGTGTGTGTTTGTGTGTGTGTGTGTGTGTGTGTGTGTGTGTGTGTGTGTGTGTGTGTGTGTGTGCGTGTGTGTGTGTGGAACGGCTGGTGAAACATTTACTGTATGTATCGCCGAGCAACAAATTTGTATTCAGCAAAACATCAAATGAAAAATCTGCACACTGATTTTTTTTTTCACCAATAAATAAGAACTTTTTTTTAAACCTACAGAGCAGTGTAAGTTGTGTGTTTTATTCTTCAAAATACTTTATTTTCACCTCTCCCCACCATCACCTAAACAATATATATTTAAATATGAATCTGTATCAACCCCCTTTGATTATATTCCTTTTGCAGTTTTGACTTCACTTTCTTCTGTCTCTGGGTTCAGGTAACTCAGCACTTTCATCACAGCTTCGTTCTCCGCGCTCTGACTTTGTGTCTCTCCGTCCCTCTCTGCGTCTTCTGACTGTCTCTTTTCTTTTGGGCTGTTCTCCGTGTCCATCAGGTCAAAGTATTCCTCGATGGCCTTTTCTAAGGAGCCCGTTGTGCTCTGTCCGACTTCCTCTCTTTTTTGGGTGGCCTTGTTGTTGCTAAAAGCAGGTTTGGGATACCGTGCCAGCATCTGAGCTGCTAAATAAGCTGCCAGCTCATCCTCGTCCACCGTGTCGTCGTAGTCATCTCTGAACGTGTTGGGAAGGCGCCGTTGCGTGGGAGCGGATTCCCTCAGACGCCCGGCAGGCTGAGTGTGAAGTTGTGACAGGGAGCTCTTGTGCTGCCTCTGCTTCGTGGCGGGAGCTGACTCCTCCTCGCCGCCCATGCCCAGTATTTTGAGGATCTCCTCTGTTCTCAGCTCTTCTGGGGACTTTCTCACATAAGATGATGGGCGTATGTTGTAGAATTTAGCTGCTGGAGTTGCTTTCTTGAAAGAAAACCTGCTCTCTGCTCGTTGTGGTTGATTACTTTTTCTCAGTTTGCCTTGATTCATTTGGTGTCTGGGTCTGAGCAAGTTCATCAGGTCTTCTGGTGGGATCTGGTATTTTTGGGAGATTGTGAGGAGCTGATAGATGACTCGTGGGTCGATATTGTCTTGATACTGATTCTGAGGCAGCCTCCTCTCTATCCTCCCGCCCTCTTCCTCGGCTAGTTCTCGTTTTTGCTCCTCTTCTGTTTTTTCAAGCACTTTCAGGAGGTAATAGTCCACCAAGTTGGCCACGTCGTCCACATCACTCGATCTTTTCACTGGAAAGCTTTCCTCGCCTTCATCTTCATCATCCTCTTCAGCTTCTTCGTCATTGTCATCAGTGTAATCAAGCCCTCGGTCAACCTCATGGTTACTGTCCATCTCCTCTTCTTCCTCCTCTTCATCTTCTCCGTCCAGTGGACCCCAGTCTGTGAGATCTCTGTCTCCATCATCATATGCTGCATTCCTCAAGTTGAACTCATCTTCATCTTCTTCTGCTTCATCTTCTCCCATGTCATCGCCTTCATCTCGTCGCTTTTGCAGGATCTTTGAACCTGTCAGCTTGTCCAGCTCATCAAACACGGACTGCAGTGTGGCCAAGTTCTGAGGCGTGTACTTCTCTTCTACATTCTCTTTGGTGCGTTTGAAAGGACTCTCGCGTCTGGGACCTTCCTCATCCTCTTCTTCGCCACCCTCACCTTCTTCCTCATCCTCAAACAACAAAGGCATCTTCTTGTGAGGTGTGACACCTTTTTGTTTCTGTGGCATTCTGGGATAACTCGTGCCCATTCTCTCTGGACCTGGGCGGAGCAGAGCTGGACTGACGGCTTTCTCTGTCTGCTGGAGAGTGCTTAGCACAGCCTGGAGCAACTCTTCACTCTTATCCTTCCTTCTCTCATCCTCCTGCTCTTCCTGCTCATCTTGGCTCTGTGTGGGAGCCAGCCTCAAGATGGCACGCAGCTTCTCAGCATCATCCATATGGCTGATATCTCGCTCTGTAGCGTGGGGAGCTCTTTGGTGGAGACTTTCAATGTACTCCAACGCTTTCAGCATATCTGTGTCAGGTGCCTGGAGCACATCTCCTTCCTGTGAGTCAGGTTCGCTCCCCCGGAGCCTGTGGTCTCGGATCGAGGCCCCGATGACACCAGTGAAAGTGAGGAAGAGGGAGATCAAGAGCGGGCTGGCTAAATAGATGAGAAACGGCCTGTATGGTGAGGTCTGAAGGAGTGATGGCATGGTGACGTCTGCAGGAGGAAGATAAACAAGCGCATGTCAGCACTGACCTTTATGCAATACAGCTAGAGCCAGGTTCACGAGGTACACTGCTCTGGCAGGAGTCTGTTGTCCTTTTTTAACTATTCCTGATTAAAAATGTTTATCCCTGACTGTATAACAAAAAACTGAAAAAGGTGTTCTCCTGAGATCAAATTATCATTATAATGAAATCAAGATATAAATTATTTCTTTTCTTTACCTTTTATTTTGGTTTTAAAATGAAAACCTTTTTAGTCAATGTTTGTTCCACAGTTGAATAAATCTAGAAAGTTACTCTGAAAACAATAGTTTTGTGAAGAATATGTTTCTGTATCCCTGTATTTACATCAGATCCCGCCTGCTGGTTTCATTTGAGTGTCATACTGGGATGCGGTCGCCTCGTTTCCAGTAGCAGCAGCGACGGTATTCAGCTCCCGTACAAATCCTATTAGACGTCAACTTGCTGCTCTCCGGGAGTCACGGTGCCGTTGTCAAGGGAACCCGGTAAAGACTGATGTTCCCATGAAACCTCGACTTCACCCTGGATCAACCTCCCAACATCCAGATGTTTCCAATTCTCCTATGTAGCTTCTTGACCAAGATAAAGTGTCCTGAACTTCACGTACATTATTTATTTTTATTTTTATTATTGTATTTATTACAGAAGACAATCTTTAGCAGTTTTTGTTGTATTTGTTTCCTAATTTTATTTTATTTTATTTTATTTTTTACACTGTCACACTAAACTTACCGAACAGTTCTTCTTTCTTTATTTTTTTTTAAATTAAACATATTTTTTGTTTGACCGTCAGCTTTCAGTAGACAGAGCGCAAACACAGCATATAAAATGATCCAAATGGGCCGCGCGAGAAGAGCAGCTTCCTGCGTGCGACAACAATAAAACCTCCTCGCCCGAGCATGTGTGGCGGAGCCTCAGGTTATTTATTTATCAGTTTTTCTTATCATGAAACAGAATGAATGAGCACTTATTTAACTCAAGATTAACATTCACATTTAGAGCATTTAGCGAGGACCGGAGTTGGTTATGCCGTCATTAAATAACAACCAGACCTACCTTGTGTACTTAGTTTGTGTCGAGGCTCGTGAGTGAGTTGAGCATCTCTCTTCCTCGCGCTTGGACTCTGGTTTCAGCACCGCGGACAGCTCCTCGTGCTATTAGAGGCGTCACCTGACTCGTGCGTCACTAGATACGTAACTCTCTCTCTCTCTCTCTCTCTCTCTCTCTCTCTCTCTCTCTCTCTCTCTCTCTCTCTGTCTCTCTGTTTATCGCTTTCTCTCTCTCTTATTTGTGTTTTTTATGCGTGCGCGCCCGCGAGTACATTTACACAAAAGGTACCCCCCCCACACACCCCCGTCGACGCACGCGCGCTGTTCGCTTGAGTCAGCCAAGCCTGGCTCGCTCTCTCTGGTGTGAGAAGAGTTTCGTTCATACAGCCGCTCCCTCTCCTGTCGGAACTCATAATGAAATGAATAATAACAGGACTATATTTAGAACTAACTGTCTCTTTGAAGGTGAGAGCTTCAACGCAGTTTTTAGGAGCGCTGAAGTTAAAAGACAGTTGAACTCCTGTTGCTATGTAGGAGAGAATATTAAAGAGTTAATTAAAACTTACAAGGTTTGTTTTTATGACGGAACAAACGGATTGTAGTTGCGGCATCACGGTGTGTGTGTGGCAGAAGCCTTGACGTTGTGCTGTCATTGACTGATGTTGTGTCTCTGCTCTGCTGCAGCGCAGAGGGACAGACACGGTTAAAGTCCGCCGATGACTCACATATGGACTCCGCCAAAGCCCCGAGACGGGCGGGGTGACAGAAGGACTGCAGAGATGCGTGTGCATAAGAGAGCATTTTGTGTGTAAGTCAGATAGAATATACTTTTACCGACAGCCACTGAGCTCTACTCTCTATTTTTGGCTGCCTGTCAAATCTTGTCAACTAAGCAGATGCGTGTATGTGTGTAAATTTGCAGTTTCATTCATAAATCTGGTTGCTGCATTTAATCACAGCTCCAGCTGTCCTCCATTGACCTTATCTGATAGTCTGATGCTTGCAACTTGTTCGCAGCATATGTAGAGGCCTTGCAAAAGTAGGAAATTCCAAAAAACTTTAAAATTTTTTTATCACAAACCTTAATGCACTTTATTGGTGCATAATTCTGAACTGAAATAGTTATACTAATTCTAAGCTCTTTATGTAAAAGTGCCGAGGAAATCGTTTTTATTGAAAGAAACTCTTAAAAATGTGCATTTCTAAAATAGCATAAGTCATAAAGGGGATATAATATCAGGATGTATTGCAGAGTGGCGGAGGACCAGAGTCGAGGAGGAGCTACTTGCCACCCCCTGATGAATGGTGCCCTGGGTGGTTGCCCATGTCACCCATATCAGAAGCTACCTATGGTGGTGGCAGCATGCTGTAGGAATCATTTTCTTCAGCAGAGACACTGAAGCTGCTCAGAGCTGATGGACAAGCAGAGACAATTAGTAGAAGAAAAACAGTTACAGAAATAAAAAGCCTTCAGACTGTGGTGAGTTTCACCTTCCAGCAGTATAATGATATCACACATAAATTCAGAGCCATGGTGCTGTACTTAAGATAAAAAAAATATATTTATGTTCACAGTGACTTTCCAGCCAAAGTAATAATGTTTGAGCAACTGTGAAAAGAAAAATGGGCAAAAAATTGTAGTCAGCAGACATAAAATCAAAACTTTTCAAAGTTTAAAGTCTCCTTCCAGTGATTCACAGATTATCTGTCCATTAAGAAACTAATTTAGCAAGAAAATAGTTTTAAAAGGTCAGCCACAATTTCTAGTTTTAGCTGCAAAATCAACATGAGAAAAAAAAGCTTTTACTTTGTGAGAGGAGAGGAAATGATGGCTGAGTCATAGAAGAAAGTCCTTTCAGACTCATTATGGGACTTTAAAGGCTTAGTCTTGTTACATTCAAACATTCATCTGGATTTTTAGAAACACGGCACAGAAACAGCAAAGCTTAGTTTTCCACCTTGGTTTCTAAGGGAGACAAAGCAGAACAAAAGACTTCTTCTTAGCAAAGAAGCAAAGAACTGTAGTTCTTTGCTTGGTTTCCCCTCTTACATTTACACATACTGTAAAGACGTGTACTGTACCATTTTTGTACTGATAAAGCCTGCGACGTCAGGCTAATTGCCTGAGGATGTGTTCCTGGCAGCAGTACTGGTAAACATAAAGCAATTACAGCTGCCTTCCACCCACATGTCCACTAAAAAAGACAGATGACTTTCAGGTTAAATTAACTTTCTAACAATTACCAACATCATTTTTCCCTCATTTTGTGGAGTAAATGTTTGGTGTCAATCCTTTCTCAAATGGTGAATTTGAAACTGTTCCCAGAATGGCAAATCCAAAGAAAGATGCAGGTTTGAACACATCTATGCCATTTGTGTATTGTTCTAGCAGGTTTAATTCATCCAGCTGGGATTTTATTTATGTAGATATCAATACAGCAGGACAGAATCTGAAAAGTGTGGTGTGTATTTATGGTAAGCCTAATTTACTCTTAGAATAAACATCGCCATAAGACCAAGAAACACAGTGGGGGCTCTGTCGTTGGAAAATTTAAAGCACAACTACATCTCACAGATCTCTGTTCGATCATTTGTCAGAAATCAAAAGACCATGGCATGACTGCAAATCTAAAGATAAATGTCCAGCTAAACAGAAAAGTTGGATGAGTACACTGTTAATTAGCGAAGCAGCTAACAGCGCCATGACAACTACGGAAAGCTACAAAATCCACAGCTCAAGTGAGAAAATATTTCAGCAGAAAAACATTCTCCATAAATATGGCATTAATGGAAATCATGAAATCAATAATCCCCATTTGTAGTTCCCCATAAGGCATGTAGGGGGCACTCCAAACATATAGAAGTGTGTGTCCTGGTCTGATGAGCCATCCCCATGATGGCAGCATCATGCTGTGTAGATCCTTATCTTTAGCATTTGAAAATAGATGAAGCAAAATCCAGAACATTTTATTAGAAGAATGTTTTCATCAAACAACCAGATCTCCAGAGGAATGGTTCAGATCAAAAGCATATTCGTGAGTTCGAATGTTCTTCTGATAAAAGTCAAATCCAAGTCTCTCCATCCAGACTGACTGAGGTTGAGGTACTATTGCAAAAAAACAATAAAAAAATGTCTACCATGTAAACTCTCAATAAAATACATCAGTAGAATGTGAGAACAAATCAGGACAACCTTTTTGCAAGACAGTGTGTGATACATTTGAGTGTCACTTCGTTTTTATTAAAACACATGAACATTTCTCTTTGGAAGTGTTTTTTTCCAAACATGAGCTGATCACTCCCACTGAACTGGCTTCTCTTCTTCCTACCTTCCGTCTCCATGTGTTTGTCCCCCGACGTCAAACCTGCGGAACTTCATCCATTTTAACTCGGCCTGCCGGCCAATGATCCTGAATCGTGGCTCAGGCTGTCAGGCTTTTGGCAGGCACCTTGCAGAGACAGAGTGATGCAGGGCGGCAGAGGGAGTGGTTGTGAATGGAGGTTTGACGTCAGCCTCTTCCCTCCACTCCACATCAGTATGGGTTTGTGTGTCTGGGAGTGATCGATGGTTGGTCGCCGCTTTACTCTTTCAGCTTGTAAAAACTTATGTTCTACAACTCGTCTGAGAATCCCTTAAAAATTATATAACAGAAAAATGTTTTTTTTTGTCATGTTTTTACCTTTCTCTGAAAAGATGAAAATGATCAAGTCATTACATTCTGAAAATAGCTTGTTTACTTCGTCACATCTGTCTGCTGAATAGAGAAAAGGACAACACAGAGTCCCATTTATGTCTAACATTGTTCCCATCCCCCCCCCAAAAAATAAAAAATTCAGATGGCTTGTTTCAATTTATTTCCTCCAGACATTGTTGTACATGAGTTCAAATCCTTAATTGTGCTGCGTTTTTGTCTATTTTTCGTCCCTGTTCAGATGAAAATAGGGAGCCCACTGTAGATCAAAAATAATTTGTATATGCACAGGAGCATGAGTCACTCTGACTCTCTGAGCAGAATGCAGCAGAACCAATTAAGGCACTTTAGCTTCTTATGGAAATCAAAATGAAATGGACCGGATTTGTGTCACGCATAAAGAATTGCAAGAGGACCTAGGGCTTAAAATCATCCTCTACAAACAGGATGTGAAAGTTTAACCAGGTTCTGTTCCTCTCCACACCTGCTTTTATTTTACTATTTACAGCTGCAGCAATATAACATAACACCAGGTTGTAAAAAAATATACATTTTGATTTGGTGGGCAAGGCAAAAAAGTAATTAATTGCATTTACCTTTTCATGCTGTAACACTTTGCTTATTTTTAGACTTAAATGTCAATTTCACACACACACTATCTTCAAGTGACAGTTTATGTCAATATCTTTTTATGTTACCTTTCATGGTGTTTTATTACATAAAGCATCATTTTTTAAATTTTTTTGGCACTAGAGTGACATTGTCACTTTCACTTCTCCTCACTTGTCAACTATCCACACGCGCCCATCAGCAGCTACTTCCTGTTAGCCAGAGAGCTGTGTTAACTCATCTATGAGCTTGCAAACTTGTAAGCAAAGCCCACAGTGCAAGAGAACAAAGGTGCTTTTTAGGGCCCCCAAAACACCAGGGGCCTCCCATAAATATTAAAATTTTAAGACCATTAAATGTTTACATTTGTTTATTGAGGATGTGGATACAAATAGATTTGATTTGAAGGACCTCACCAAGCAGCTGAAGCGAACAGTCAATAATCTTGATGTTTACATATAGTATCAAGATCAAGTTACCTATAGGTTAATATAGCTATAGATTAATATGAACAGGGCTTGCAGTGAAGAAGAACTCTGAAGTGTGCTGAAACACGTACCACTCTGGGATGCACAAAGATCACTTGTTGAGAGACTGAAAAGTTGTGAATTTTGAAGCTGCAGCGTGAAAATTATGTTTTCCACACTGTCAAAAGTAAGTCTTATCGTTGTATTCACCAGGACAGGAAGAGGAAGAAGAAAACGTGAGCCGCAGCTCATAGCAACCAATAAAAACTTTCTTATCTAAAAGTAAATATGCAAGTTTGTGAGAAAGTTATAGGATGGACTGGAAAGGTCATATTTTA